ATTGTGTTTAACCTAATCGAATGAATACAATTTTGATGGGAGCACTTCTTCTTTTAATAAATCATACACATTATGAATCAGATTAATCAACGATTCAAAGCTGATATGCGAAGGACGAGTGGAAAAAAACCTTATAGAAGAAATTGATAATAATGTTGGTTGACTTGTGATTTTTCTATAAGCATATTATCAGAATATACTTTTATTATTTTCCTTTTAGGTTCTTCTTCTTTTTTCCGTGTTTATTTTTCTATAGTCAAATGAGAAGAAAATGCATTTCTAATTGAATTTCAAGCAAGAGAAAAACACAGTTTGAATCAATAACAAAGAAACATGAATATTTGACTAAAAACAGAGAGTTTTTTAGGAATAATTTTACAAGTTTCCCTTTTTAAAAATAAGTTTTGCTAAATAAAATATCAAGAAAATTATTTATTATTTAAAATAAGATGCTACCTAGTAAAGAAAATTATCGAACTAAGTCCCTTCGAGGATATCCGATAAAATTTGAACGATATATAGAAGATTAACATAATTTTAGCGTAAAGATAACACCCACAAATCGAAACGATACAGAGATTAACTTGACCTCTACGCAAGGACGACATACACAAATCGAGAAATGATAACTTTTTTAATTGTAGAACAAATTAACCTATCATCACTTATGCACCCTTGACTTGTAGGAATGATATATACTTTATAAGCAATTTGACATCTCTTTTTCTTTTCTCTCTTATTGATTAATTAATTAATATATATATATATATATATATATATATATATATATATATATATATATATATATATAACTTAATTCATTTTAGTCAAATGAGTCTCTTCTAGGAAATTTAAAGAAATATAAAAATGGGTCCTTGAAACACTACTAATTAAGTCATATATGAACCATCTAGAAGACACGCAACGTGTGAGTGAAGCAAAAAGATTTTGTGTTTGAAATAATAAACACAAAGTTCAATAAATAAATAAATATACTAACTTAAACATACTATAATATTTGTGTAAATGTTTTAACATTTGAAACTTTGACTTATTGCCGGCGTACCAACACTGAAATCACCTGATATGTATAATATCATAAGATTCAAATAAATATTTTAATAGATTTTACATATGTTTAATATTCAAAATTTTGATTTTTTTTCCCCTCAAATTCGTATTCAATCAAACTAATAGCATATTTAGTCAATCTTTAAACAGTTTCTTATTTTGAAAAAATAGTCTTTATACTTTTCGAGCTTCATATTTGGATAATCAATTTATAAATTATTTTCGCTAATATAAAAGTAGCAATTTATACTGTTTGACTAAGGTTTCAATATGCTTCTGAAAAAAAAAACCTCTTATTACTATTCATAAACACTTTTTTATCTGTAAAAAAAATTGACGAAACACCTCCATTTCTTAAATAAGTATATATTATTTTTTCCAAAAAATATGCAATTTTAATTTTCTAAAAATTGGCCAATCAAGTTATAAAACACAAAAAGTAAAACGGAGGGAGTAATTAATCTTTTTACCCCTCCCCCCCCCCCCCCCCCCCACCCTAATTTTCTTTTATATATATATATATATATATTATTTTTTATTTTTTTTGAAAATGACTTAAAATCAAATCAAAAGTATCAAATTAAAGTAGGGGAAATAAGATCTAAATGGAATAAAATATTGATGCCAAAAATCAAGAAATATTGTTCATGTGGTCTATAATTAATGTGGGAACACAAAAAGAAGATAGCTTATCAAATGTTCCAAAGGGCAATAAGTCCATGTTAGGTTTATAATATCAATGTCATATTCTTCAAAATCAATTTGATACGTTACCCAACTGATCTTTTTTCGTTTGTTTTGACTTTTGATTCGGTATCTAAAAAGATTATTACTGTCTCACTATAATCTTTGATGATACATAGTATTTTTTGAAGTGTGAAAACAACAACATAGTTATCGTTACGAGATAACTTATCAAAGTTACTCCCCCCACAACTCATTGATATACACACATTATGTATACTTTTATATATAGTGCTCATATCAATGATCAATTGACTAATTTATCTTAATTTGTGAATGAAAAATTGATAGCTCCATTTACCCTACCACATGGGGTTACAAGTTTAGGTGAGCTGTATATTAACAGTAACATGTGTTTGGTCCCCTTTTTTCCAATTTTTCATTATCGTATTAATTGATATTGTTATCACTCTTTTCCTCATAACTTCTTTACTGTCGTATTCTCTTCTAATTCATAATTTGAAATGTTTTTCTTGAGTCGAAGGTCAATGAAAACATCTTTTAAGCTTTCACAAGATAGTTTATGACTTTATGTACACACATTTTCTCTAAATTTTATTTATAAATTACACTGAATATATTATCATTATTTAATTTATACCACACGATATTTGATTGTGAGGGCTTTAGGCAGCTTAGCCGACTTATTTTCATAAAAAAATCGTCACTACATAATTAATTAATTCCACATTTTACACATTCATTTTCTTGAGCAAATAGAAAGGTCGTCCCCAATTTTACTTTGAGTTTGTTTACTTGTTTGAGACGAGACGTATAGCTATGATACTATTTTAATATTTCTTTCATTTTTAATATGAAATTTCATTTATCGTCTCCGTTCTCAACTTGCACACCTAAACATTGTTTGTTAGTGGATGCGTGAATAATCCAGAACATGTTAGGTCCACATAATGGAAAATAAGAGGTTTTTTGGGACCATAATTTCTTTTCACGTATATTATTTTTGGATTATTTATGCCAATATTAAGTATTGTCAATTTATTTAAGTACCGTACAATTATTTTTTTCCAAGCCTCCACGTCTCAATTTTCTAACTCCTTTTTTTGACTCCATAAAACGTACGTTCATTATTCGTTTGTTGACATTTTTTTCACAAAAGAAAATGTAGCAAATAAAATAATATTTCATTCCGTTCCTTTTTAGTTGTTATAGTTTTCTTTTTGAGAGTCAAACAATATGAATTTTGACAAATAAGATGTATTTTTTCATCATATTGATATTAAAATAATGGACAAATTACAGAAATCACATACTTTCAAGGAAAAATTACAATCTATCCCTTAAAAGTTTATAATTACAGAAATCCCTCAAACAGATACAATAATATAAGCGCTGATAGATTAATCTGATGCGTGAGATACAATAATATAAGAACGGATACATGCGCGAGATACAATAATATAAGCGATGATACATTAATCTGATGTGCGAAATAGAATAATATAAGCGCTTATACATTAATATGATGCGCGAGATACAATAATATAAGTGCTGATACGCTAATCTGATGCGCGAAAATGAGGGATTTTGGAGATTTGTAAAACTTATAGGGGATAATGGTAATAAGTAAACTAAAAGGTGAGATTAAATTATAGAAATCACATACTTTTAAGGAAAAATTACAATCTATCCCTTAAAAGTTTATAATTACAGAAATCCCTCAAACGGATACAATAATATAAGCACTGATACATTAATCTGATGCGCGAGATACAATAATATAAACGATGATACATGCGCGAGATATAATAATATAAGCGCTGATACATTAATCTGATGCGCGAGATACAATAATATAAGTGTTGATACACTAATTTGATGCGCGAAAATGAGGGATTTTGGAGATTTGTAAAACTTATAGGGGATAATGGTAATAAGTAAACTAAAAGGTGAAATTTCTGTAATTTTTCCTTAAAAAATTGCGATTTATAATACTTTTTGTAGAATTTTTGACTATGTAAAATTTTATATTAAAATATCAAATAAATGTAATCTAATTTAACTTTATAAATTAGTCAAATTGACTCTCGAAAAATGTAACATGACAAGTAAAAAGGAACGAAAAGAGTAATAATAACAAAAAAGGAATAATCTTACATGTAAGGATTAAAGTAGCTTTAAAACTTGTATAAACATGGTTTAAGATTAAATTTATCAAGAAACGCCAATAGCAACAAATCCCATGTTTAAGGGAAACAACCTAGTTTAATTATATTAATTATACAAGTCAAATTTTTCTAGTAGTGTATTTTTCTAAAAAAAAATTATTTGCAATTTCATAAATAAATTAAAAAAAAAGAGTCCACCTTAATTCACGCCGTTCACAATATTGTATGGAATATGCATGAAATGAAGAGTGACACAATTGCTTACGTAGTCAAGTTTTTTTTTTTTTTTTTTAGTTCTTACTTCGATTAAATTTGAATTCGCACATAACAAAATCCATTTTTAAAAGGTAACACTTTCAACAAGATTTTTCCATTATAATTCAAACTCGATATATCTAACTAAATGAGAAGAAAATCAGGATTCCTGAATCATCACACCATTAAATTCAAATTCGAGATATCTAACTAAACGTGAAGTAATCTCATACCATATTACTACCATTGATGTTGAATTATGTATTTACTAACTAGTAGTGGTTCAAAAGATACCAAAAAAAAAAGTCGAATCAAATTGTGTTCCAATCGATTTACAATTCCTACTAAATCTATATTTACTATATTTTGTGTATGTTCCAAATATATCACGTTTTAGAAATATAAACTCTAAATTGTTTAGAATTTGTTAATTATTTATGTCTAGTTATGATTTGTTTATCTTAGTTTATATAAAAATATGTTTTCTAATCCTACATTAATTTGGAGAGAAATAAGAGAACTTGTAGTGAGATTCAATCTTTTTAAGTTTTTGAATAAAATATTTTATTTCAACATTCCTCTACGGCTCTACCATTAATATATAAATATAATTATTTTTAATTGACCGACTAAATACTCACATATTTTATTTCACATAGTCAAGCGGATCCTTAAACGAGAAGCTTCTAAATATTACATCTCTCCTCCAAATAAAACGCACCTCCACTTATGCGAATATTCGCTTTTATTTTATTTCCATAAATACCCTTCCCTTAATTTTATAAATACACCTTATTCCCTTTACAAAAACCCCAAAAAACCAAACAAAGCCTAAAAAAAAAATATGTTTCAAACCTTGAAAAACGATTTTCAAATTTGCGAAGAAATCGGCCGTGGTAGATTCGGTACCGTCTACCGCTGCTTTTCTCCGGCGACCGGAGAATCCTTCGCCTGTAAATCTATCGACAAAAACCTCCTCATTGATTCCACCGACCGTGAATGTCTCGATAAAGAGCCCAAAATTCTTCAACTCCTTTCCGGTAACCCCAACATTCTCCATCTTTATAAGGTTTATGAAGATGACGATTTCCTTCACATGGTAACCGATTTCTGCCCGAATAGTGATTTATACGAAAGGGTTTCATCTGGGTCGTTGTCAGAATCGGCTGCCGCGGCTATTCTGACTCAGTTGGTTTCTGCGATTAGCTATTGTCATCATATGGGTGTAGCTCATCGTGATATTAAGCCGGATAATGTGTTGTTTGATTCGGAGAATAGATTGAAGCTTGCTGATTTTGGATCTGCGGAGTGGTTTGCTGGTTGTGAAGGGAGGATGATGAGTGGGGTTGTGGGTACGCCGTATTATGTTGCGCCGGAGGTTTTAATGGGGAAAGAGTATAATGAGAAGGTGGATGTGTGGAGTGCAGGTGTTATTTTGTATATTATGCTTTCTGGGGTTCCTCCTTTTTATGGTGAAACGCCGACTGAGACTTTTCAAGCTGTTCTCAGAGGGAATTTGAGGTTTCCGACGAGGAATTTCAGGTCAGTTTCGTCTGAAGCGAAAGATTTGTTGAGGAAGATGATATGTAAGGATGTTTCCAGACGATTTTCAGCTGAACAAGTACTGAGTAAGTTAAATTTCTCTGATTTTCATTTAATTTCACTTTCCCCTGTTTTTTTTTTCTTCTGTAAAGTATCTCTGTTTTTTGAGTTGCTGATTTTGATGTTCTTTGTTATATACAGGACACCCATGGGTGATTAATGGAGGAGAAACAAGATCAATGGCTGATCTAAACTGAAGAAGAAGAAGATGATGATAACTGGATTTTCCCTAACAACTCTATAAATACTACTGATAAGTTTTTGCTGTATATACACCAATGTCAGCAGCTCCATGTGAAAAAGGAAGAAAATGAGGAGAAAGATAAGCTCTTTCTTGGTATGATATCAGTTCTACAACAAGGGGTTCCCTCTTTTAACTTTTTTTTCTCCTTTGAGATGCTGTTACTGTGTTGTGGAGAAGAATCTGAAGAGGATAATGAATCTCCTAAAAAAAAAAAAGTTTTCTGGCTATGTAGAAATAGATGATTTTCCCACTTTTATGTGTTTTTTGGTATATGAAAGGTTGTGGAAGAGAAGGAAGGATAAGTGTTTATCCTTCAAATTTTGTTTTAGAGGAGCACTATGTATTATGTAATAATAAAGTTTGCTTCTTTTTTTGTAATCTTTGAGATATCTTCTATAATATTTGTGTCTTGAAGCACCATCTTTTGTTGATAGTTTGTTGTGGAATTGTATTTTCAGCATCTTGATTATGTATTTCTGGTTTATTGATATGAATTATCGGAAACAGTTTTCTTACCCCCTACAAAGGTAGAGGTGAAGTCCACGTACATCTATCTAACCTTAGTCTCAACTTGTGGGAGTGATTATACCGAGTATGATGTTGTTGCCGCTTTACCAAGAGGTAAAGTTTGCGTATTACCCACCAAGAGTAAAGTTTGCATACATCCTACCTTACCTTGGCTATACTAATGGGAGGGATTATACTAAGAGCCTGTTTGGATGAACTTAAAAGTTGGTCAAATTTACAAGTTATTTTTAGTTTTTGAGAGTGTTTGACAAAGTTAAAAATAACTTAAAATAAGTTAAAAAATCAAACGGGGTCTAAGTATGTTGTTGTTTTACTAATATGAATCTTGAATTGTTGATATTGGGTTTTAATCTTAGCTTAAGCTTTATGGATGAGGAAGTGTCCATACTCCATAGATTCTGCAATGTGTTTCTTGAGTTTGGAATATTAAGAAAGGAGTGTCTTTTTGACTTTTCAAAGAGGCATAATATTGCTTTTCTCTAAGTTGGATTCATCAAGAAAATGAAAAAAAAAAAAAAACCAAAAGACTTGAGGTAAAGTACAGTTGATTGTACTGATCCTTTAAGCACCTATCAAGAAAGGAATGGTGGATCTTGTAGTTTTTAGTTGATGTGTGGGTGGTGGTAATGGAATCTACAAAGATAAGGTCTATTTTGTATCTTATAGCATATGCTTTTTAGTTTATAAATATTGCCAATCTATTAGGTGTGGTACATATTCTTTTATTTGCTTCACTCCAAGTGTCCTAATTTGATTAAACACAACAACAATAACATATCCCGTGAAATATCACAAGTGAGATCTGGTGTGAAGTTAGAGAAACACAAAAACAATAACATATTTCGTGAAATATCACAAGTGAGATCTGGTGTGAAGTTAGAGAAACACAACAACAATAACATATCCCGTGAAATATCACAAAGTGAGATCTGGTGTGAAGTTAGAGAAACACATAAATTGAAACATAACAAAGTTGTTATGATGATAAGGTATCTCCTATGTATTAGGATAAGAAAATAAAAAGAGATTCCTTGTTATGTGAAATTCATGTTTTCTCTATACCTTTATGTAATTTTTGATTAAGGAGGCATTAGTGCTTGTCCTTTAATTATGTTTATAGGAGCGCTATGTGATAAAGTTTGTTGCTTTAATAATGCAATGGATATGTAATAATGTGTTTGAAATCACAGATAGAGAAAGCAATACTTTATATTAATATTGTTGAGCTATGTTTTTTTTTCCTGCTTTATTGATGTGAATCTTATTTGTGTGCAACTTGTTGAAAGCTAATACTCCCTTCGTTTAAAAAAGAATGATCTTCTTTCCTTTTTAGTCTGTTTAAAAAAGAATGACCTCTTTCTTTTTTTGATATTATTTTAATTTCAGTTTTTCACGTGACATGTTTAAAGCCACAAGATTGAAAGACAATTTAGTACATTTGACATATCTTTAATTTAGGACCACAAGATTCAAAAGTTTTTTTTATTTTTTAAAACTTTGTGTCAAATCAAACCAGGTAATTGTTTGTGAAACGGAGGAGATAGTATGAAAGCATCTTATTGACTTTTATGCTTTATTCATGTGGAAGTATCCAGCTATTATGTGATGTGTTTCTTAAGTTTGGGATATTTTTGTAGCATATTATTAAAGCATATACTGAAATTTTTAGTATGTATGAGGTACAACTAGTACTATTTTATTATAGATATATTCTAATCCGTGGACCCATTTTTTGTTTTTTCTTCTTTGCCTTTAATTTCTATTTCCTGCTCTTCTCTAATCTTTTTTTTCTAATTTTATGTTTTTCTTAATTCTATATCCAGTTACTCCCCCAATTTTTTTCAGTATATAGATGATTTTTTTTGTTTGTTTTAACAAAAAATATTTTTAAAAAAATAATATTCTTATCATAACTACATAATATATTTATAATTAACATAATTTTTTAAATGTAATTAATAAGACTAATTTAGTAAAATGAATCTCTAATACAATACAATTTTAAATTTATATATAAAAGTTATAAAAGAATAGCGAAACACTTGTTATTAAACTAAACATTAAAGAATATTTGGCATTTGACCATAGAATTTAATATGTTTTTTTTACTGTATTTGAAATACATGGAGCAAGAGTTGAAAATAAAATTATGTTTTGTTTTAATAAAAATATATTTGAAATAATATTCATATTTGAATGTACTTAAATATAATATCAAAAGTGAAAAATGAGTTTAAAAACGGATTATACTAACATGCTTTTCAAATTTGAAATATACCTTTAAGTTGAAAAGTTGTATTTCAAATTTTCATGATCAAACATCAATTTTTAAATAAAGTAAAAATAATTTTTAGATAAATTCTAAAAGTAGAATTTAAAATGATACGAAATATGAAGGTGAAATTTTTTAAAGTACTATAAATGAAAAATGAGAGAAAAAAATAGAAATAATTTTAGTGGTCAATTTTTATGACATAAGTGACCATTTAAAGAATTAACTTGAACTTTTGTATGCTCATGCCTTTTTTATTTAAGGGTAAAGGGTCAAATATGCCCCTAAATTATTCGAAAAGGTCTAGATATACCCTTCGTTTAAAGTTTGGCTCACTCGTGCCCTCGCCGTCCAACTTTTCGTCTAGATATGCCCTTATGGGCGTTAAATGCCAAATGGAATTGCCACGTCATTTTTACATTACCACGTGACATTTATATTAAAGGGAAAATGGTCAAATAAACTCCTAAGTAATATTTCGAATAATTTAGGGACATATTTGATAAATAATATATTTTTTTAAAATTTGGTTAAAACAAATAAGTAAAAAAATTATTTTCATATGTACAAAATGAGAGAGTATTAAATTGGTTTCAAAATTAATTTAAGAAAAAGAAAACAGAAAAGGAGAAAAAAGAGGAAAGAGAAATAGGAGGCAAAGAAGAAAAACAAAGTGTAGGTCTCACGAGTTCAAATATAATAACAATAAAGTAATCCTCATACAACCAGTATAAGTATGCCTTATTCCTAATAAATTTTTTCGTGGTGTGATGGAATGAATGAAATTTCTTAACCATCAACTAAAGGTTTTGTATTCAAATGATATAAATCTGAATTGGTTAGACTAGTCCAAAAATGTGCAAATATGATCAAAAGAAATAGTTAATAGTTTTATTGCATTTATATTATCTTTATTAGCAATAACAACAACAAATAGGGAAATATATAAATGTACCACTAAATTTGATTTTAGCTGAAGTAAATATTCCAATTTTTAATACGCACATTATGACACCTCAATTCGCCTTTTTTGTGTCAATTGAACATTTTAACTTACAAAATAATCATCAAGATAATTTCAAAATTTATGTACGTCAACTTTGGTTGTTCATGAAATATAGTAAAAACGAGTTGGAGTATTTAATGGTTAGTTAAGACCAAATTAAAGTATCTAAATATACTCCTTCAAAATTAAAATAGTTATTTATCAGCTGAGATTAAATTTAAATATCTTTTTATGTCTTATATAAAAATATGAAATGTTTCTCCAAGTGTATATCAAATAGAAATAAGATTAGCATATACTCCATCTGTCTCAATTTATGCGACATATTTCATTTTTTGAGAGTCAAACAATTTAAGTTTGACCGACAATTTACTCATGGAATCTTCAAAATTTTTGAAATGAAATTTATATATTTATAAACTACGTAAAAAGCACTATAAGTCACAATAATTGACAATTCAAAATATTTAAAAAATGTTTGCAAAATTTATGGTCAAAGATTGAATTGTTTGAATCTCGTAATCCAAAAAATATCACATAAATTAAGACGGAGATATTGTTTTTATTTTTCTTTTGTAACCTAATACACTTGTTCATCATCCATACACAATCTTGAGAACAAGGTAGTTACAATTAATTAATTATGAATAAATGGACAGGTCACGAGAAGTTTGGTAGGTGATGTGACAATTTAATAGATTAATAAATGAAAGGGGGCAGAACTGCCAGACACAACAACCAAAGACCCATGTGATAAGTCAAGTGGCCAATTATTTCATTTTCCAACTTGCAATAAGTAGAAAAATTGCAAGAGATAAAGACATTTTGCATAGATCAGTGAGTAAACCTATCAAATGGAACCATGTAGGGAATGGGAATCCATAGTAGTTATAAATGTACCTTTTGATTTGGAATGACACAAGTACTCTTGGATTATAATCGAAATTTCAGATATATACTTTAACTAAATTAAGGTTCTGTTATTATTTTGAATCTATTTTTTTTGTAATTTTGGACATCTTTTTAGCTTACGTGGCAGTCAAATATCTCTCACGCGCCTCAACTGATCGAGTGGAGTCACGGAGTATGTCATATAAGCCAAAAGATGTACAAATTACAAAAAAAGAATTCGAAGGAATAATCAGACTTAGTTTAGTTAAAATGTGTCTCTACAATTTTGGTCATAATTTTTTGAATAGTTTTTTACCCTAATTTCTTTATTCATTTGTTTTGTCTTTGTGACACATTTCAACAAATATTTGGCAGCTTTAAGTCGAAAGGAAGTTGGTTGGATTAATGCTATTTATTTTGCAAGAAATACAAATAATATTTAATTCAAAACAATTCATTGAAGCAAGTAGATGAGGTTCACTAGATTGAGTGTGTTAAGGGGGTGGGGGATTGAATCAAAAACAAAATAGTAATGTTATCGTACGGAAAAATTAGAAAGGTTCCCACTATTTCACTGAGAATTTTTTCCGTCATGTATTTTTCTAATAAATTGGTGAGTAAATAATGTATTATAGTATAAATTTCTCACTAATTCACAATGAGAAATACGTTTATTTCTAATAGTGTTAGATATAAACTACCCATATTTTTGCATAAACACTCAAATAATATAT